TTTGTTTTCCAGGAAGAAACAGAACTTGTCTCTTATTTTAAATTTCATGTTATGGTAAATGATCTCTTCTAGCCATCATTATTATTTATTAAGAACATAAAGTATAAAAGTAACTTTGAATGGATGCAGAGAAATATGGTATAGGTCCTGCCCTTAAGGAACTTGACCTATATAGGAGATATGACATTACATTATAAGGCAGGTTATGTAACTACTAGTTTAATTGTCTAAATTAGATAGTCAAAAACCATTTATTAATGATATCACACATAGGGCCTATAAAAAGAACAATAAGAATTAAGTTTAAGTGAGCCTGGTTCCTTCCCTTGAGAAACTTCCAGATTGAACAGTAGGTCATGAAGATGACAACACAAACATTGGAAAAGTACATGACTACATTAAAATATTTATTAGATTAAAATATATCCTGCTGTTATATTGATGTTGAACCATACTCTTATTGGCATTCTTATTATAAATGAAACTAGAAGACATAAATAAATTGCGGTCAAACGGAGTAATGGCTCACAGGTTCTCCTTGGAGAGGTAAATACAGGAGCTGGTAAAATAAATTTCCTCCTGCATTCCAAAGCAGTAAGAAACATCATTTCATGGGACACTGATCATCTGGTCTGATAGTGCACATAATGAATGTAAATAAATGGACCACTATGAAAATAATTGCACTTTGTACATTAACATCTGTTACAGAAAATGAAGAAGTAGAAAAACTCTGATGGGGCCATATCATTCATTCTAAATTAAACATATACCTTGATGCTTGATGACTTCAATTGCAAACTAGGTAGAGGGGAAAATTAAGAAATATAAGATGGCAAAAACTTGTAGCTTATTCAAAAGGCTTCCATTGACATGAATAAATGAACTGTATGTCATAAATACTTCAAGAAGAGAGATGCAACATTTTGGAAATGATGAGGAACTAAAAACTCCATGAAAAATAAAATTGGTTGTATTTTAACAGATGTGAAACCTTTGGTTACAGATATTGGAATCATTTTTGAATCTGTATTCAGTTATGAGGGGTGGGGAACCTGTGGCCTTGAGGCCATATGTGGTCATCTAGGTCCTCAAGTGCTGCTCTTGGACTGAAAGCAAACTTCACGGAACAAATCCCCTTAATAAAAGGATTTATTCTGTAAAACTTGGACTCAGTCAGAAGGCTGCACCTGAGGACCTAGAAGGCCACATGTGATTCCCCACCTCTGAGTTAGACCTTGACCTAATTAGCACAGAGATACAAATTAACATCAGATTAGAAGAAAAGATAAAGAAAAGATCATATATCTGGAGCTAAAAATGGACCCTGGTGATTCTGATCTATTCAAATAAACTGCTGATTCTGAAAAATGAGAATTGGGTTGCGGTATAATATTGACTTTGATTATCACTATTTTTTATAAGGTTAACAGATTTAAATAACAATTGGTAACCTTTACGTAGTACTTTACTTTCATTATCTCATTTGATCCTCACAATAGTACTTGGAAGAAAGTACTGCTACTATAGTTTTTTTGGGTTTTTTGGGGGGGGTAGGGTTGTCTTTTTTTATTTGGGCCTATGGTTTCATTAGTATGAGGAATTCCCAGAGTGGGAAGTCACTTTGCTGATGCAGATCAGCAACTCATGTAAAGCAAAATGAAATTGATAGAACTTTCCATAGTGATAATTTCTCATCATTGAAGATAGTTGAATCATTAAATTTGAAATCTAGCACTTCAATACCATATGAGAAAATTGAAATGGCACTAAAAAAAATGAAACTTGGAAAAGTGACTATACTCAAGCAAGTGTAAGCAGAAAAAATCCCTGCACCACGATTTTCAAAATAACAGCAATCAATTTCAGGATAGTGCCAAAAAGGGAAAACACCAAATTATTGGAAAAGATCTTAGATGGTGACATCAATATGCAAAGGGGATATTATGCAGTAGCAAATAATGACCCACATGTATATTTTCTCATATCTTTAAAATCATGTCTTTGAGAATGATCTATATACAATAGTCAGGCTTTCAGAGATGATTTTTAAAAATGGACATATTGTGTTTCAATATAACAACAAACACCCAAAACAAACTTGCATACAAAGTTACATTTCCTCCAGCTTGTTAATTCATTGTTATCTGGAAAGAAGGTTTGAGCCTTTAACTTTGAAAGGGCAGAACTAATATTGACCATTGTATTTGATCAAAGTTTTGTTACTTCTCAATAATTATTGTATTGTTTGTTTTAGTTGTTGTGTATAAGGTTCTTTTGACTGTATTTTTTTCCTCCATTATTTCATATGGGTCCTCCAATTTTTTGCTATATTTTTCATCCATTGTGATTTACTAATATCTCATCATATGAAATACAATTGTTCATTCATTCCTAATTATTGGGCACATATTTTATTTCCAACTCTTTGTTATAACAAATACTGTTACCACGAACATTTTTGTATATGTAGATTATTTTTCTTGCTGTTTATAACCTCCTTGGAGAATGGAATCTCTAGGGCCAACAGTATGAAAAAATGAGTAACTTTTCTTGCATAATTCCAAATTGTTCTCCAGTTCAGTTGAACAAATTCATAGTTCCAACAGCAGGAAATGAGTATGTCTTTATTCCCATGGCCCAACAATGAATTATCTCATGTTTTCCTTTTTTTTTTCCCTCTAGCTTTATGATGTGAGGTAGTACTAGATTACAGAAGTAATTTTCTTAAGGAAACTCTCATCTTTATTCATACAGTTGACTAACAATATCACACCATCTTTATTGGTTACTGATTACAAAAGCAATATTGTAACATGCAGCCTTAAATGCTCTTCTCCAGCAAGGAGCCTACTGTGCATATGTTATAGAGAGATTATAAAAAATTCATGTATAACAAATATGCACTCAAATACTGAACCAGTACCTATGAAATGTTAAAGGACATAGATGATTATCCAATAAATGAAACTGAGCACGAGTGGTCATACAGGTAGGAGAACCAGGAGAGAGCATGGTCTCAAAAACCAGAAGAACAGCAGGAGGTAGGGAGGAGGTTGGTTAACTGAGTCAAAAATGGTGTAAGTCGAGTAAAATGAGGACTAAGAAGAAGCTGTTAAACTTGGCAATTAAGAATTAAGGATTTTTTTGGGCAATTTTGGAGAGAACAGTTTTAAGGGAGTCGTGGGATTAGGATCTTGATTTAAAGAATTTGAAAAGAAATTAAGAGACAAGATCCTCAGATAGCTTTTTATAGAGTTTGAGTGTAAAAGGGATCAAAGACAAGGGTGATTGCTTGAGGGAGTGGAAGAATTGAGTGACTTTTTAAAAAGGATGGTCAGATAGTGTTTAGTGGTAGATAGAGGTCTTATAATCGATAGGGAAAAATAATTTATTAGAATTTGTTTTCTATTTATTTAACACTATGAACAATGGTTGCTTTTGTTTATATATATTATCATGATCAAACAGTAACTTCATGCAAATCACTGGGGATACTAAAAGATATAATTGGGGCAGTTAAGTAGCACAATCGCTGTAACTTGGGGCCTGGAATCAAGAAGACCTGATTTCAAATCTAGCTTCAGACACTTTCTAACTGTATGATCTTGGGCAAGTCACTTAACTTCTATTTGCCTCAGTTTCCTCACCTGTAAAATGGGGATAATAATAGCACCTACCTCCCAGACTTTTTGTGTGGATCAAATGAGGTAATTGTGAAATGCTTAGCACAGTGTCTGACATGTAATAAACACTATATAAATGTTAGCTATTATAGCTATTACATAAAATTATCCCAGTCATTTAGGAATCTGGTCCATTTAGGAAATATGGCACAATGACAGATCAAGTTTTAATCAAATAATTTATGTGCTTATTCCCTTTTAGTCTTGTCATTTTAAAAAAATGTCCCAATCTCTTCTTATAATTTGTTTCAGTTTAATATAGCGGTTACTACTCTGGGACTTAAAGAGTGCTTTATAATAAAATGGGACCATCCTATTCAATGAAAAGCTAGAAATCTTTCCCTGATGTGTTCAAGGAAAGGCTGTGTAGTTTAATTGGAAACACCCAAGACTGGGAGTATGGAGGGGGAGATGGGAGCAAGAGGACAATAGGGCAAAACCTAGTGCCTAATCTGAGGTAGTAGGTAGTAATGGACACTTACCCTGGGCTACTCAGAAGAACTGGGGGGATATAAGCAAGAATGTCTCCAGAGCAGGAGGAAAGAGTCAACTATGGTCCTGTAAGATGCTAACCCTCAGATCTGGCACGTTGTCATACCAAGCTTTTGCCACTTTTCTAGGTGCAGTAGATGGGACTCCTGGTTCCACCACCACTCAGCACATAGGAATAGTTCAGGAATGTAGAAGAGAAGTAGGGATTTTAGAAAGAGGGAAGCGGTATCACCCCTTTGGCTAGGAAACTGGAGGTTTGTAGCATGAAAGTTTCCAGGCATAAAAATATCAAAAGTGGAAAGGGTCCCAAGTGGAAGAAGGGGACACAAGATAACTTATCACCAGAGAAGTTAGGCCCAGAAAGCCAGAGGCTGTTCTGGATTATCACAGTACAACTATCTAAGATTGTAACATATACTCAAAAGGTAGCTTTTTACTTAGCCGAAAAGCAACCATGTTTTTTCCTCTGAATTAACTCAACTTTTGTGGAAATTTAACTCTGGTTAAATTTTGCAAGAGAAAGAGTGTTAGACTTGGAGTCAGATGACCTAGGTCCGAATTTTGGCTCTACTAGTTATTGCCAGTATGATCTTAAGTCACTTTACCTCATTTGGCCTCAGTTTCCTTGCTTTAAATCCATAAATCTGTAATCCGGTAGTCCTACAGTCATCATTTAACTTGGAGGTTTGACTTCTTGAGTTTTGTTCCTTGTCAATAGGCATTGTTTCTTTCACTGTATATATCCTATGCCTAGCGAGATGTCTGGTACATAGAAATGCTTAATAAATACTTGGTGATTGATTGGGGTTGTATATTTTTCAGGTGGCAGAAATGCATGGAGAACTTATTGAGTTCAATGAGCGACTACACCGAGCTCTGATTGCTAAGGAAGCTCTTGTATCCCAGATGAGACAGGAACTCATTGATCTTCGAGGACCAGTAAGTACTTCATATGTGAAACTCTCAAAGCTTGTGGTTAGAATATTTACCAAACTTCAATCCCTTTAGGTAGTATAAGTGCAAAGACTGTGGCTCCCCATTTTCGTTGCCATTTCAGGCCTTCTGATTACATCAAGGAGAAAAGAATATAGTAACCACTTATTTCTCTTTCTTGTATCTGGTACTTTTTGTGATTAAAAGGTAGCAAGAAGTAGTGAATAGAAAACTGGTCTTGGAGTCAGAAAGAAATGGATTTAAGTCTTGCCTCTGCTAACTACAAGCTGTGTGACTATGGGCAAGTCACCTGACTTCTAAGTTATGGATAAATTACTGATCTTCATTGAAGAAGTTTTTTCACTGGACTTTCCTTACATTAATGAAATTTTCTTGATGAATTTAGAGAATTTATTATTTACTTATTTTAACAGTAAAAGTAAGTCAACATGCATTTATTAACTTTAATTTATTTAACTTTATTTCCAAGTATTTACATTTTAAAGATTAACTTAAGCATAGAAAATGTCTATAACAACTTAGTAATTGCTCTCTCTGTGACTTTCTCTTTTTTATCCATTCCCTTCTCTATTTGTGCATTTTTTACTCTTTTTACAATTATAGTCAGTGTATCTACTGTCTGTTTGTGCTTTCTTTATTTCACATTACTTCCTATTAGTCTCTCCAAATTTCTTTATATATCCCTTATTTTTATTTTAAATTGTTATATTACCCTAAGACTAGGGTCTACTTAGCCATTTATTCACCATTCTTTATATTTCCAAATAATGCTGTTATCTCTCTTTATATTTCATTTTTTTAGGATAGTGTACTTAGCTTGTTTTCCTTACAATGGAATTATTGGCTCAAAACATGTGTTTATTTTCTGACTCATATATTTCCAGATATGGCTAAAAAGAGATTACGGTTAAGTTGCAGTTTTACCAAATATGTTTCCATTTTTCTCCAACCTTGCCAGAATTGAGTTTTATGGGTTTTGGTTATTTTTACTGATTCATATGTGTTTTTCTTGTGGTGCAATTGAAAACATTTTAAGTGATAGCTTAAATGTGTGTGTATTCTCTGTTGTAAATTGCTTATTTATATCCTTTGCCCATTTAGCTAATGGGGACTAGATATTGCCTTTGAATTTTTTCTTTTATCAATTCCTTATATGTTTAAATATTAATTTTTGTTACTTGCATTTGCCCTAAACTTTCCCTGATTTTTAAATATTAAATATGTAGTTATTTGTCATGTAGAACTTTATAATTTTTATAATCAAATCTTTTGTACCTTATCTCTAAAGATTTCTCCAATGGAATTAAAAGATAATACTTTGTTTGCTTTTCACAATTTATTTATATATACACACATATATATACATATATATACATATATGTATATATATATATACATATATACATATATATACTTCATTTTTGTAATATTTTGTAGTTTTTTTCTTTTTTGGTGAATTCTATGACCTACCTATAATTTTCTATGATATGTGGTTTAAGGTGAGAGATCTAAATTTTTTTTTTTGATGTATATCTGTCCAGCTTTTTGCCTATTTCTGGCAAACACTTATTTAATAATGAATCGTTTGTTCAGTATTTATTTTCTGCTAATTTTTTGCAACTGATCTTTTTTATGTTTGTTATTTTGTTTATTTTTGGAATTTTGTCAATTCCACTGTTTTGTTTTTTTATTTTTGCCCAGTACCTGATAGTTTTGATTATAATTGTTTTATTTAGTGCTTCAGTTTAAGGAGGGTAATATTTACTGTTGTCAGCTTTTTTTTTTCTTCTCTCATGTTAATCCTTGAAAGTCTTGCGTAGTTGTTTTTTCCATATAAATTTTGGTACAATATTATTCAATTCTGTAAAAGAAGTCATAGTCTTTTGATTGATATTGGATTAAATTTCTAAATTAATTTAAGGGCTATCGTTTTCATGATAGTGCTCTTCTCATCCACCAACCTTAGATATTCTTTATAAGACTAATAACATTATCTTTTGTTTTCATACTGTCTTTGTTAAGAATATATCCCCCACTATCCCCAATGCACTATTCTATATAAAAAATAATTTTGAAAGAGAGTAAAAAAAGTTCAATAAAACTAACCAACATATCAACCAAATCTGTTAGCATATGCACTGATCCACATCCATAGCTCCTCACTCTTCAATGGAGGGAGAGAGGGAACTGTATTGTCTCTTCTCTTCCTGGGGCCAATCAAGCTTGGTCATAATTTCATGGAGTTCATTTTGGAATTTTTCGGTGATAAATGTATATCAGTGCAATTATTTACATCTTCTATTATTTCTGTCAATGTACTTTTATAGTCCTCTTTACTAAAATCATGTCCATGCCTATATAAAGTAATTTCACAGACATTTTTTGCCTTCCTGTTATTGGAGTTGATTTTTTAAAACAATGCCTTTTCTAGTTTTATTGGTATGATCTTGATGTTGTTCAGTAGTTTCATTTGGGTAAGATACTGGAGTGGTTTGCCATTTCTATGATACTGAAATTCAAGTGAAATTTTTATTTCATATAGTCTAAGTTATCTCTCAATTACTATTTTTGTTGAGACCAGTGGATTTTCTTGTTAAACAACCATGTCAGCTACTAATAATGATATTTTACCTTTTGATTTCCCAATTATTTCCCCTGATGTCTTTTTTCCTTTCTTATTATAGTTGTTAGAATTCTTAATACTATGGAAATTAGAAGTGGTGAAAATATTCCTCCCCCCTTTTTTAACCTATGTTTAGTTAGAACACTTTACCTTGCCATAGAATGTTCTTTAGGATTATAAATTGTGGAGCTAGAGTTAGAAGAGACCTGAGAAGCCATCTCATCTCACATTATCATTTTCCAAATCAGGAACAGAATTCCCAGAAAAGTCAAGTGATTTGCCCAAGGTCGCTCACATAAGTAGTAATCTTCTGAGGAAGGTATTGGGTTTGAAGTAGATATTTTGTATTATTTTTATGAAAAAAAAAATCCCCCTTTTTCTATTCTTTTTATATTTGTATTGTATTTTCAATATCATGAATGGATAATGAATCTCTGTGTGCCTCAGGCAACTCTTTAGGACTTACTCATGATAGTTATCTACTTTAGAAGAAAGAGTTTACTTACTGGGAGTTCACTTAGCTGATACATATTGTATTAGCATATAATAATTATAGTACTAATACTGAATCATACTTTACCTTCCTGATTTATGTCCTGCTTAAGCGTGATTATTTATATATATATATATATGTGTGTGTGTGTGTGTGTATATATATATATATATATATATATATATATATATATATATATGAAGAGGTCTAGAGGTTTAGGGTGCTCAGACCCCAAGATTGAGATGTGGGCCCTGCCTGAATGAATTCAACCCAAATCTTCTTCCAGTCAGAGAAAAAGTTTATTAGAAATAAATCATATAGGCCAGACTCTTAAGGAATCTCAACATTAGGAACACCCATAGGGATGAGTGGGCATGAGACAGTCTCAGCCTTTTGGGCATGAGGAAGTCTCAGCGTTTGAATGGGGGCCAGGGTGGGTCTTATATACATTAAAGTAACTTTGGGTGGCCAGAGGAGGGGGCTGGGAAAAGGGTCTACAAGAGAATTTTGATTGGAAGGTCTGAGAGATTGAATATACAATGGGAATAGATAATGAAGGGAACTGGAAGGAAGAAGTTTGAAAGGCATCTGCATAAGATCAAAAGGTGGGGCTAGGACTTTCAAAGGGAGACAAGGGGAGTTGATAAGGAGCCAGAGGCCAGAGTAAAAAAGTTTAAGGGTTTTCTCGGCCCACAGACAAATGGGAACCAAATTCCTTTTTCCAAAAGGGACAAAGGTCTCGGCTTCTGAAACTGAATGATAGGCCCCATAACCCCGTCATATATATATATAGTTATGGGTATGTATGTATATATGTATGTATATGTGTGTGTGTGTGTGTGTGAGCGTGTGTGTGTGTATATATATGTTAGAGTTTTTGTGTTTGTATTTATTAATGAGGTCAGCCTATAATTTCTTGTATTATGTATACTGGGCTTTTTTGAATCAGTGCCATGGTTCCTTAATCATTGTAATTGGATCGCATTCCATGTTTCACTTTTTTTAGGAACAGTGTAGTATCAGAATTGTTTTGTTCTTTGAACATTTGGAAACATTTATCCATAAATCCTTTTGGGTGAGATGGGTCTTTTTTGCTAGGTAATTTATTGTTGACTTTTCTTCTTTCTTTTTTTCTGATGGTGGGCTATTTAAGTTCCTTATTTTCTATTTCTTGTCATTATTTTTGGTAATTTACATCTATTCAGCTGTTCAATCATTTCATTTAAGTTGTAAAATTTTTTTAGAACAAAGGTGTGTGTTTGGCTTTCATAATTGTTGTAAATGTTCCTGTTTTCATGTCTAATTTTGGTGATTTGTGTTTTCTTTTTCCATTTTTAAATTAAATTTACTAATGCTTTATTAGTTTCATTGCTCTTTAAAAAGCCTACCTTTTGATTTTATTTACTAATTCATTTGAGGTTTTAGCATTTTCTGTTCCATTTATTTCTGCTCTGATCTTCATTTTTTTCTACTATCATTTCGACTTATACTTTGTTGTTTTCATAGGGTGCTGTGGTACAGATTTAATTTAGATTCAACTTTTTTTCCTCTTTGCTGTAGATACTTGGTGCTCTAAATTTGGCATTAAGAACTGCTTTGAGTGCATAGAATACATTTTGTTAAATGTTATTCATAGTATTATATTTCAAATATCCTGGTATTGTTTTTAATTTCCTCATTAGCTTAGTTGCTATTTAATGTTTTCTTACCATGTAGCATTATGTTTTAAGTTATTTATTTTTAATTTTCCTGAGCTCTGCTGTAAATGTTTTATAATGTGTAATTTCTTGCTTTTTTAATTTGTCCAAATATAATCAATTTCTTTGTGAAAATTCTTTGTTCACTAAAAAATAATGTGTTCTCTGCTTC